TTGATTTCAGCCCTCAAGTTGATTATTTCCTGGCGTCTACTCCTACATGGTGAATTTGCTTCTCTCTGTTCTATAGCTTTCAGTTGCGCTGTTAATTCTCTTATGTGACTATCCTCTGTTTTCTTCATATGGGCACTTAGTGCAATGAACTTACCTCGTAGCACTGCTTTCAAGGTGTCCCATAAGTTTGGGTATGTTGTGTCCTCATTTTTGTTGAATATTTGAAAGTCCTTAATTTCTTTCTTTATTTCATGTTTGACCCAGGAGTGGTGCAATTGCACATTGTTCAGTTTCCATGAGTTTGCAGGTTTTCTGCTATTTGTGTTGTTGTTGAATTCCAATTTTAAAGCATGGTGGTCCGATAAGATACAGGGGACTATTCCTATTCTCTTGTATCTGTTGAGGTTTGTTATGTCAACTAGTATTTTAGAGACCGTTCCATGTGGATCAAAGAAGAAGGTATATTCTCTTGTCTTTGGATGGAATATTCTATAGATGTCTGTTAACCCCAGTTGAGACATAACTTCTGTTAATTCTTTTGTTTCTTTGTTGAGTGTCTGATTTGTGGTCCTGTCTAGTGTTGAGCGTGGTATATTGAAGTCTCCCACTATAAGTGTGTGAGGTTTTATATGAGCTTTGAGTTTTAGTAGTGTTTCTTTTACGAATGTGGGTGCCTTTGTATTAGGGGCATAGATGTTCAGAACTGAGACTTTGTGTTGATGTATTTCTCCTGCGATGAATATGAAATGACCGTCTTCATCTCATTTGATTAATTTTTGTTTGAAGTCTAACTTGTTAGATATTAGGATAGCTATGCCTGCTTCCTTCTTATTTCCATTTGATTGGAAAATCTTTTCCCAACCCTTTACCCTGAGGTAATGTCTGTCTTTGAAGCTTAGATGTGTTTCTTGTATGCTGCAGAAGGATGCATTCTGTCTTTGTATCCATTCTGTTAGCCTGTGTCTTTTTGTAGGTGAGATAAGACCATTAATGCTGAGGGTGAGTAAGGACCATTGATTGTTGATTCTTGTTTGATTTAGGTTTGTTGTTGGCAGTGGTACTGTGAATATATTAGTTCTGCTTTACCCTTGGTTTCTGGTGTAGTTGGATTATATGTTGCCTACATTTTTTTTGGGCGTAGTTACATTCCTTGGGTTGGAGTTTTCCTTCCAATACTTTCTGTAGGGCTGGATTTGTAGATACATATTGGGAAAATCTGGTTTTGTCATTAAATATCTTGTTTTCTCCATCTATAGTGATTGAGAGTTTTGCTGGGTATAGTAGCCTAGGTTGGCATCTGTGTTCCCTTAATACTTTTAGAACATCTATCCAGGACCTCCTGGCCTTGAGGGTTTCTATGGAGAAGTCAGGTGTAATTTTGATAGGTCTGCCTTTATATGTTACCTGTCCTTTTTCCTTCACTGCTCTTAATATTCTTTCTTTATTCTGCATGCTTGGTGTTTTGGTATTTATATGTCGAGGAGTCTTTTTCTTTGGTCCAGCCTATTTGGGGTTCGGTATGCTTCTTGTACTTTCATGGACATGTCCTTCTTCAGATTTGGAAAGTTTTCCTGGATGATTTTGTTGAATATGTTTTCGGCACCTTTGAGCTGAGCTTCCTCACCTTCCTCTATGCCTATTATTCTTAGGTTTGGCCTTTTCATAGTGTCCCACATTTCCTGGATGTTTTGTGTTAAGGATTTCTTTGGTCGATGAATCTATTTCTTCTAGTTTATCTTCTGTGCCTGAGATTCTCTCTTCCATCTCTTGAATTCTGTTGGTTATGCTTGCCTCTGCTGTTCCCGATTTTTTGCCCAGTTTTTCTATTTCCAGTATTCCTTCGGTTTGTGTTGCCTTTATTTTCTCTATTTCAGTTTTCAAGCCTTGAACTGTTTCTTTCACCTGTTTTTTTTTTTTTTTTGGGTTTTTTTTTTTTTTTTTGAATTTTTTTTCCTTTTTTCCTTTTTTTTGTTTTTTTTCCCCCTTTTTTTTTGGGGGTTTTTTTTTTTTTTTTTGTGTGTTTCTTTTTTTTTTTTTTTGGGGTTTTTTTTTTTGTTCCCCTTTTTTTTCCCTCTGTTTTTTTTTTTTGTTTTTTTTGTTTTTTTGTGGTTTTCTTTTTTTTTGGGGGGTTTTGTTTTGTTTTTTGGTGTTTTGGGGTTTTTTTGTTTTGCCTTTTTCCCCTCCTGTTTTTTTTTTGTTGTTGTTGGGGTCTCCTCTTTTTTTTTTTTTTTTTTTTTTGTGTGGGTTTGTGTGTGTTTTTTTTTTTGTGTGTCTGTTTGTGTTGTGCGGGCTTGGGGGTCTCTCTGCAGACAGGGACCCAGGGATGGTGTCAGGGCTAAGGATCCAGTAGAAGATGCCACTAGCCAATGGCTCTAGCCAATTCCTGGCAGAAGAATACAAAGTCTGTGCTGAAACTTGGGAAGGTTTTGCAGGATAGTCGGATCTCACTGGAAACTGGGACTCTCCAGCTGAGGCCTTTTCTTTAGCAGAGGCCCGGATTTGGGGGTGAAGGATCTTGCCAGCAAGAACTCAGAGTGGACCCGCAGAGATAGGCGGATCTCTGTGAGGGCCTGGGACTCCAGCAGAGGACTGGAGGCAGGGTCAGAGACCAAGCAGGTGGAAATTACGGTGGTCCCGCGTGGATAGTCAGGTCTCCTTTGTTCAGAGTTGCTCTGAGGAGTCTCCGAAGTAGGGTGTACTATTGGCTCCACCCTCTGTCCCAGTGCTCAACCAGGTGGCAGGACAGTGGGCAGGGTTGGGTACAGGGTGGGGGGGCAGGCTCGCGGTGGGGATGGGTGGGGGTTTATTAGAGCTCCAAGGGTGCTCTCAATGGGGACAGGACACAGGAGCAGCTGTATCAGGAGCCAACCCAGGGAGTTCCTGTGTGGCACTTCTTACATGCCATATTCTTGTTCATTTCTTCTGCATACAGTGGCTAGTATGATGGCAGCTCCAACTAAGAACAAGGTCAGAGTCTTTTATCCACCTGCCAAACAATTTTAAACCCTGCTGGTTCTAACACTAGGGGAACACTGTGAGGAAACTTAGATACTCGCCCACGAACAGGCGTTTTAAGTTCGAGAGAACCCTGTCAGGATTTGCCAACAAGTACAGGGGCAGGGGTTCCCATGTGGTTGGGGCAGACTTCATGGAGGGAATTGGATGGTTGTCTACTTTAGACAGTCATCAGTGCCTCCTGAGAACCTGGCTCTATCTCTCTAGTCCTCAGAAATCTAGAGTTCCACAGCCTGGCACTGCAGGCCTTCCTTCTCAGTGCTTTTCTGAATGTTTCCACTGCAATGGAATAACCATGGCTGTGCCCAACTCCCAGTCAGCAAGGCATGATGTCAATTCAGTGTCTCCCTTCTAACTCTCTTGAGCTCCCAATCCTGGCCTAGGCAGATGTTCTTTCTTTCCTCAACTTCCCATTTGAAGGAACAGCTGCGCTTTGACAGATGGACCATCCCAACTCTTCTAAAATCAAAGACATACACTAGATCTTTTGTGTTACCTGAGCAGTCTGTTATGTCTTAATCATTGGCAGCATGAGCCTGATAAGACCAGAGTGGGAGAATCTGGCACCAGGGTATCCAGGATGGACAATCAATAATCTTCACTTTGACCCCAAATATTATGCTGTCCTGGGGTTGGTCTTGCTTGCACTGAATTTAAAAGGGATACTTTTCCAAATTGAGAAAACCTGACTTGTAGGGCAAGCTGACTTGAGATGAGGGGATATGACACAACAGGGTCTCTAGCATGAAAGATCTGGGCTCTTAATGACAAAGAAAGTATTTCTGGAGAATTAGGCAGCTTGAGGAGAATTTGGCATCTTTGTATAATGACATAAAGTAAAATAGAGGTTATTTACTAGAAAGGCCAAAATGTTTAGTAACAGCAAATAGGTAAGAATGAAAGTCATGTATATGGAAAATGAAGGGAAAGAGGATTACCACAGGTACCAGAAGGTTTCAGGGGAACTGTGGAAGTCAGGAGGACACCCCCATACATGCACAAGTGCTCATGGAGACAGGGGACAGAACCTCTATTGTACTTATATGGACCTTCTGATACTGCTACTAGCACTCACTCTATAATCAAACGTCTTAACAGATGCACTGTGATCATGCAAATGTGGGCATAACCATGTCTATAGAACCCCTGGAAATCAAGACAAACCTCAGCAAATACATAGTAACCAACCTAGTTCTTCTGGACACACACACATACATAAAAACTTTTCCAGGCTTGAGGAGATGGTAGATGTTTAATATAAAATTGTGTCACTAGTTACTTTGGCACGGAAATAGATGAATGGGGTTGGATGATGGGAAGGGGGAAGAGAAAAAGAAATCAATATTGGTGAATAGACAAATTATCTTAAAATAGCTTGTAGGTGACATTTTACCTACAAACACATTAGATAGAGATGCTTTCAGATGTTTTCAAATCCAGAGACTGACTTGGAAACCTTAATGTTCTGTGTTTTGAAATTATCCATGAATCAGGTTTCTATAATGAAACTTAGACTCCAATATGATGATGTTATGCCTATTGGAGGCCTGGGTCATGAGAACTATTAATTATCCCACCACACAAGTTATCATTTTTGTATCAGAAAGCTAGTCATCAAAACAGCATTCCTGTTGGTATCTTAACTTTGGACTTCAAAATCTCTGAAAGTATGGACTAGATCTGAGAGGGCATGTGATTTTGATAGAGCCCACTGTATGAAATGAGTTCTCCCAAGAACTCATATCAAAGTTCTCCAAAGTTTCTGCTTCACTTAAAGAGGGTTTTGTTTTTAGAGGACACTGAGGATGAGAGTTTAAAGGAGGAAGGGCAGAAGGGGCCTAGTACCAGTGGACTATGAAAGGAGATGTGTACATTGGAACTCACAAATCCACACTGTTATTGGAGCAGTTATTGAGTTGGTCTAACAAAAAAATGTAGACTCACATGTAGGGGATTTGTGATAAATATGGAAGAACAGCCAAGTGCAGAGGTTATGTGAATGCTAAAATCAATCCAGGTTCCTCAGTATATTTTTGGAACCTCAGGCTAACCCCATCAGCAGCCAAGCCCACACACCATTCCTCACATAGGGCACTATAGTTCTTTGTGCATGTTCTGTGACCTCTTTAGCTCTTGTATCTTCTGGGGCAGAGTCTTGGTCCAGAACTGCAGCTTTCTGGTCTTCAGGGCTCGGCCCACAGCAGGCTGGATGTTCAGCTGCAGGTACTGCTCATCATGGTCCAATGTTGGCCAGTAGGGTAGACCCTCGCTGTTGGGGTTCCTGTGGATTTGCCAGCCAGTGGGGAAGAGTGAGGTCACTATGGTTCAAAGGCTAACCTCCTGATTTGAGTCAGAGCAGTGGTAAAATTAGGCCAGTTGTTAAGGGGCCTTATATAGGGATACAAGTGTCACTCACTAGTTTCTGCTCCATGTGGGTGATGACCACTTGATCTGTTTTATACCTCCCTGTAAGAGGTAAGATCTAAAGAAGAGTCTCATAGCACTATGGCTCATGAACCACGTCACTGTGAGATGATCAGTAACTGACAATTATAAAGTATCTGTATAAATGTGCTATGGGGTAGTGAATTTTCTATCACATGATGAAATATCCATGTATGATAAGAAGGCCACAATCCAAAAGGAAGCCCTAGATAGGGACCCAGACAAGGAGGGTTGAGATAGAGAGGTGTCTTGCAAAATTGGCCCAATACTTCATCATCCTCTTGTTCAGTAGCTTCTCCTCCTCAGTGAGCTCAACTGGAGTCAAGGAAGACAAAGGTCAAAGTATATTCCACCTCATACAATGGCCAACTCATGCTTCAGATTCATAATCCCAGCTGTTGTCTGACCCCAAACTATTGGCATTGATACCTCCCTTCTTTACTAGATAAGTGTCCAAGATCTATGCAAGCCTCTAATTGAATTCTTGACCCAATGTGCTGTAATCTCCCCCATTACAGGTTAGACTGGTACACAAAGAAAAAAATACACACAGACGCACACACACACGCACACGCACACACACACACACACACACACACACACTCCTCAAATGGACTGTGAGCTCAGGAATCCCTTAGAGATTCATCTGGGACCTCATACAACTCAAGGAAAATAAGGAAGACTCACATTTCACACCCCAGAACAAGGACCCGAAGACAAAAGGAACCTCATCACCATGGTCAGCCTCAACGTGCGATGGCCTGAATTGCTTGACAAAGGTGGGTTGATGTTGGAACTCATAGAAGTATACAGGGGCAAGGAAACCTGGAGGTAATGACAGATGGTGACTTAGTATTGCCTTATGTGGAGCTTTTCTTATACATGTTTGTTGACAGGAAACCTTGATGAAATGTTACCTGGAATCATAAAAGTTAAGTGGCAGAGGGAACTTTGGGCTGGAACCCTACCTGTGGAAAGCCCTTGGCCTTCCCAGCTGAGTGGTTTTTCAAGTCAATAGAGTTTCAGTGATCCATTTCCTCCTCTGTACCTAGATGTCACTCTCCATGACAAGACATGAGACCTGGAAACCACACTGCTTCACAGTGCTCCCCCATCACCTACATCTCTGAGTTGCTCCCCAAGCCTTGTTACAGATGTACTCACGCTGAGAATGTGCTACTTGGAGTGCAGGGATCACAAACATGAAGTCTCCCATCATCTCTGTGAACTGTGATTGGAGGGCTTGGGGATCCTCAATGTCCCCCATGTACTCTTCCATTAGCAGGTCACTACATTCAGGAGGCAGCATCTACACCAAGGAGAGCAGGAAGAATGAGACTAGGCATGTTCTCGGGTAGGTGGGCATCAGTGCTTGATATGGGAGAATGGGCCCTGGAATGAGATAGGGTATAGGCAAGAAGGTTCAAGCTCCAATCTTGTGGAATATTACTTTAATAGGGCAAAGATGTGTTACATTTGTTTATGTGGTAGAATATTACTTTAACTGTGTAAAGGTATGTTACATTTGTTTCAGTTGCCTTTGTTAATGATATCAAGATCTGTTACATTTGTTTTTGCTGTGTTTGTTTAATTATGTAAAATGTTGCTGTTTCACCTTGCCTGTCCAAGGCACCTAATTGGTCTAATAAAAAGCAGAGTGGGCAATATTTAGGCAGGAGAGGGAGAGGCAGGGCTGTGGGGCAGAGAGGATAAATAGGAGGAGAAATTTAGTCTCAGAAGAAGAGAAAGAGAAGACAACAAGGAGGAAGGGAAGATCACATCAGGATCCAGGCAGCTGCCAGCCAGACATGAGGAACAGTGACAGTAAGATTAAAAGCCCTGGCAAATATAGATGAAGAGAAGCAGGTTAAGTTATAAGAACTAGTGGGACAAGAATAAGATAAGCCTGAACATCCATAAATAATAAGTCTTCATGTCATGATTTGGGAGCTGCTTGGTGGCCTCCATAAAAGAAAGAGCCTGCTACACTCCAAGGTGACCCCACATAGAATCACACATCTATACTGACCTTTATTAATAGGGGTGCTGTCTGAGAAGGAGATATGAGGGGCCTCCTTACATGGACAAGACTAGAGGTGTCTCACCATTTGTGCTGTTGTATTCTTCAGAACAGCCTTCAGGTTCTCTCTGGTTATTTCCTTTATTGTCTGAGCACTGTTTACAACCTGGGAGGCAAAAGACAAGTGTTAAGTGTGGGATCTGATGGACTTGGATTAAAGATGCGTTGAGTTCCCACTGCTTAACATGTACGTCTCCGGACTCCCAGAGGATTGGAACTGAGCCTCACCGTGGGGATGATCCAGCCATACTCATCATTGTTGACACCTATGATGCTGGGGACAGGGTGAAAATCCACAGATGCCAACAACTCTTGTGGATGCCTGGGTAGAAACTCCCCATCCACCACAGCAGGGATGACCTGGAAGACCTGGGAACAACGAAATACACATGGCGATGTCCACTGAATTACATTCATCATCTTCTCATTTCTTAGAGCCGCAGGGGCCTCATCTCATTCTGGAAGAGAACCTACACTTAGATTAGTCTGTCTTGGTGTTCATATTGCACATCCTGTAAGGATTCAGGCATTATGCCCCTGTCACCTGGCAGAATGCACTCAGGCAGTACCCTGGTCAGCCCAGGTGCAAAGGACCCTTTAAAAGGAAGACTTCACCACTTATGCTCTCTTTCCAGTCTCTCTTTCTGGCTCCTCTCTTTCCAGCTCTCTCTCCAACTCTTTTCCTGTCTCCCTTTTCCTTTCTGTCCTTTCTCTGTCTCTGTGTCTCTTTACTTCGTGTCTCTTCCTGGCCCCCCTTGCCCTTTTTAATAAAACTCCTCAGTAAGCTCTATGTAAATGGCATGTTTGCCTCCCCACTCCCTGGTTACCCTCTCCTGCCATGTAATCCTCTAGGGTCCCCCATGCGCAGTATCATAACATATGGTACACGTGACTCGGCACTTGGTAGGTTTTCCTGGCATTTCCTCCTTGCCAGGACCTTGTAACCTTCAACTCAGTCACTTTTCCAACTAAGGATTTCTGGATTCTTCCATTCACGACCTAAATGTCTGGTAAGCCCACCCTTTCCTCTCTACCTGTGCCCATGCTTCCATGAATTAGGACTTATATCGAGACTGTGATCTCTTGCCTTTTTGGCCCAGTAAAATACCCCAGTACAAAAACCCAGTACTGGGTGACCACATGTCTCTTGGACTCCAGAAGCCCTGACCCCCGATTTATGCCTGATGGACCACAAAATCAGCCTGTGCCTCTTGTATCTGATCTGCCCTTAGTCTCTGGAACACTGAAGATTATAGGCTTTGGATCTTCTCTACCTCACTCATGGAAACTCACACCCCCCTCCATCAAACCATGTGCCCACTTATTGGCACCCTGCATTCTACCAGTGATCCATAGTTGGAAGTGTGGCGTCTGCTCTTTTTCACTTCTCAGTTTCCCTTCTGTTCCAGGCATGCTAAATCCCTCCCCTGTCTGCCACAGTGGTGTCCTGCTGCCTCCCACCTGTCTCATGGTGGGATCCTCCCTCCCACTGGGAACGTCCTGTTTCAATAGACGTTTTATGCTCCTCTTCATAATGTCTCTCTCTCCTATCCGTCTGATCTCTGCTGAGCCATTCAGCCTGGGATGGTGGGTTCCTCTTTTCCACCCAGCTGCACTGCTATCCGGTTTCTCCTCCATGCAGATGCCAGAGGCTCACAGTTGTCTGTCCCGAGACAGAGTCGACTCAGGACTCTCTGAGAGTTCTTCATTTTCATTTCCCCCCATAAATGAGTCCTGCCCTCACTGAGCGGTGCCTTGTTTCTCAGACCCACGGGGCTCTTTTTGGATGTTGTGCCCCTTGGACTCTAGTGTCCTATGGGCTTTATGTATGTTTGTGCCTCACTCATGGGAAACAAGCCAACAAAATTATATCTAAAAACTTTACAGGATCTTTCTAACTTCTCCCAGTGGAGGGGAACCTGTTTATGGCAGCCACCACCTTGACTGAGAGTGACCATGAGGCCTAACCATAGGTCCACCCACTTCATAGGTTTCTCCCTTCACTCTGCCTAGCCAGAGGGACAGTCTAGCCAGCATCTGCCGATAAACTCTGCTGCCAGACATAATTACTTTTCCCCCCTTTATTTCTTTTACTGGCTGTGTTGTGCATGGCTTGTTTGTGTAATGGCATACCTTTCCAGGGCCCAGCAGGGCACACATTTCATGCAAAAACCCTGCCTGTTCCATCTGCAGCAAATCTGCTTTCTTGTCACTGGTAGTTTTAAGTTTACTCTGTTGCTTTAAACGTCCTGTCTGTTTGCTACAACATGACAATCAGATATCACATTCTGGTTCTTCCTTCTTACCCAGTCCTGATATATATATATATATATACATATATATATATATGTATATATATATTGTGTGTGTGTGTGTGTACATGTAGCTACTCTTTTTAAAAAATTAAGCCAGCTTTAACTCTTCATATATGTGTGTTACTTTCTAGACTAATGAAACAGTAAGTCTCAAATATTTCTAAATTGTTATGTATTCTTATATGATAATAAAATTTTATTACATAAGGGGATTTTTCTTCATTTCTTTGTCCATCACAGGCATATATGTAACCTACTAAGTCAAATCCAGTTACAGTCAGGCTGGAGGGCTTTGAGTAAAACATCCCTCCACAGTCTCTCAGCTTGACTCCAGTTCTCCAGACAGGTCCTACATTGATGTCATTGTATCCATACTAAGTATAGATTAATTAATTACAGGGATGAAACCTTACCTAGCCACCTTTGTGCTTAAAGCAAGTAACTAAAGACAAATTTTGTCTGCTGAGATATACTAAATAGCCTTCAAGTGATCTGAGATCTAGAGAATATGGCATTTAACATGTTTCATTAAAAACCCAAACCTAAGAGATTCATATAAGGTCCCTCACAGAAGGGGAAAGGAACAAGATCTCCTGAGCATATTGGGAGTGGGTGGGTGGGGGGCAGTAAGTGGAGAGGGAGCTAGGAGAAAGAGAAAGGGAGAAGAGGAGAACATGTGGGACTAGGAAGATTGAGTTGGGGGACGAATAGATAAGAACAAACAGAAAGAGAGAGAGAGAGAGAGAGAGAGAGAGAGAGAGAGAGAGAGAGAGAGAATAATAGAGGGAACCATTATAGGTTGGAAGAGAAAACTGACTCTAGAGAAATGTCCAGAGACATACAAGGATGACCCCAACTAACAATCTGAGCAACAGTGGAGAGGCTATCTTAAATTTCCTTCCCTGATAATGAGATTGATAAGTAACTTATATGCCATCATAGAGCCCTCATCTAGTAGCTGATGGAAACAGAAGCAGACACCCACAGCTAAATACTGAGCCTACTGAGCCTAACTCCTGGAATCCAGTTGCAGAGAGGGAGAAGTGATAAGAAAAAGGGTTAAGACCAAGCTACAGAGACCCACAGAGACAGCTGACCAGAACAAGGGGGAGCTCATGGACCCCCAGCTGGGCAACCATCATTGTATCAACTCAGACCCCTTAAATGTGGGTCTCAGTTAAAAGGCCTGGGTAGTCTAAATGACCTCTGACAGTGGAACCAGGATGTTTTCCTGGTTTAGGAAAGGACTTTGGAAGCACATTCCCCATGGAGGGATACTCCCTTAGCCTAGAGGCAGGAGGGAGGGCCAAGTCCCTACTCCAAATGACTTGACAGATTTTGATGATCCCTCCTGGAAGGCATCACCCACCCTGTGGAGTGGGGCTTGTGGAATGGGAGGGGGGTCAGGGGACATGGGAGGGAGAGGGAACTGGGATAGATACATAAAATAAGAAATACACACACACACACACACACACACACACACACAGCTTTTCATAACAGAGAGACAGGCCAACTGCTGGTATTACCCATTTTCTCCAATATGAATGATGGACACTGAAGAAATTCTACCTACAAAAGTGGTAATGCTAGCTACTGAGCAAACCTACCTTTCACCTCAACTGATATGAAAGCTCTTTAGGCTATGGACAAAAGGACACTGGAACTGACTTTTTTCACATTACTTAGGCCATTGGTAGGCAAGTCTTCCTAAAGCTCCCAATCCACAGGCCCTGAGCTAATAGCAGAAGTTATGTGTCCTTAAAGCCTCCACCCTCAACAACTATGGAGGACTCTCTCTGGGAGTGGCTGGCCACTCAGTCAGCTAGTTAGTCTTTGTCATTCTCTAATAATTAATTCAGGTAAAATTTTATCCTTCTCAAGAACTCTGATGCAGTTTGACAGCTAGTAGGTTTCAGTATAACTTCTTATACTGAATTACTTTGTTTACAAAAAGGTGTTTTAAGGTCTAAAGTTTATGTAAGAACATAAAAGCTTAGGATATGACTCAAAAATTGCTTTAGGGTATAACAGAGTAACCTAAGATGTACAAATGCAAGCTATCAGGTTTTTTTTCTCATTATGCTACTGTTCAATCAGTAAAGTTTTAATAAGCTACAAATCCAACTCTGACTCAGAGTATAAAACACCAACCTATACCATTATATGATAACCACAAGCTCAAAATTAAGGTGCTTTCATTGTGGTAAAAATATCTTTCAGTTTTAACCTCTCAGTGGGGCAGATGGGAGGAGAGGAGTGGAGGGAGTGCGAAGAGAGGAGGGGGGACTGGGATTGGAATGTAAAAAATAAATAATAAAACATAAACAAAAAGAATAAAAAAGATACCTGTCAGTTTTAAGAGTGTTAATGCTCTTAACCAAATCATTTCTGAGTATATGGAGTATATGGTCATTTCTACAATGCAAATTTCAGTACAGCTCATAAACAATGGAAATGCTAATGTCTCCCTAACTCAATGGATTCTTACAAGTTCTAGGGAGCCAAATTGGACCCACCCAAACAGGTTAGATTCACTCAGATAAATATCATTCAGCTTTTCCCTGATCCCAGGACTCCCTTCCCTCGTCTTGGGACCCCCTTGTGAACCCCTCTCTCATTTTATGATCCTACTCGCCTCAAGTACCAGGACTTAAGATTTTTTTTCTTAAACTTAAACCTTGTCCTCTGCTCTGTAAACCTTTCCCTAGGCCTAAGAGGCACCAGCGAGTTCCGCATAGCCTGTGAACTGCAATGAAACAACCAGCTACCCCAGCATGTGGCAGCATCCCAGCAATCTCAGGTCCCCCAAAGATGGTCAACGCCTCCAGGCAGCAGGAAGTTGTCTTGAGAACTCAACACCCTTATTCCCTAAACTGCCATGCCTAACTCCTCACCTTTTGAAAAATAAAGGTGGAAAGAAAGGATTCAGGCGTTATGCTGGCCTGCTCCTGTCACCAGGCAGAATGCATTCAGGCAGTACCCTAGTCATCCCAGGTGCAAAGGACCCTTTAAAAGGAAGACTTGTACCCACTTACACTCTTTCTACTGTGTCTCTCTGGCTCATCTCTTTTCAGTTCTCTTCCTGCTCTCTTTCCCACTGTTCTCCTGGGGCAGACAGGACTTTTCCTGTCTCCCTCTTCTCTTCTGTCCTCTCTCTGTCTCTGTGTCTCTTTACCTCTTTTCTCTTTCCTCCCTCTTTCCCTTCCTAATAAAACTTCCCACTAAATTCTGTCTTCCTGGCATGTTTGTCCCCCACCCCCACCCCCAGATCACCCTTTCTTGCCAGGGAATCCACCAAGGCCCCCCACGAACTTTATCATAACATGCAGAACTAAAGAACACAAAGTCATAGAGATGAGGTATTTGGTTCAGAGTCCCACATCTTGTCGAGCACGTCCTTCCATACACACAATTCTAAACACCTTGTTAATGACCAGAATCTCTGCTTCATTCTTGGCTCTCAGACAGTGCACCAGGGCCTCTGAGTCCATGGTCTCACATCCAGACAGGTTGGCCACCGTCTATAAAGGGAACAAACAGGGAGAAGAGTTTTCTCAATTTCAACTCAATGCTATTGTCCCTAAATACCACACTATAGTGTGTGTTATGTGTGGATTGGAATAATAATGAAATTGTTCCCAAGTTCTACAGCTCATAGGTGACAGATAACAAGCAGTAAACTTTATACATGAATACTTGTTCTTTTTTGGGGGTAGTTTTGTTTTCTACATCTATCTTTCTGTGTTTTGTGTATGAGAAAAAGAGCAACTTTGCCACAGTTCGTATATTAAGGTTAGAGGACAAAGTCTCAGGCTTCACTGTTCCCAGGGTGTCTTCTTGTTTTGCTGCTATCTGTACTAGCTGAGCTGCTGAGGGAAAATCCAGGGATTCTCTTGTCTCTGCCTTCTACCTGATGACAGGAAGTTTGGAATTACAGATACATGTTACTATCTCCAACCTTTTGTGGATTCTGGGAATTTGACATAGGTCCTAGGCTTGCACCCCAAACACTGAAAAACCCCACTGAACCATGTCCCTAGCCCTTGAAGACTCTGTTTTGCTATCCATATAACATACTCAGCCTGTAGAAAGCAGGGGTGTGGATTCTAACCCTTGAGCCTTTCAGAAATAAATGAAGAGATGCCCTTTCCCTACATCCTTATTTTCTTCACTGAATACCATAGTGCCAGAGGATAGTGCTGTGCCAGGAGATACAGGGCTAAAGTGGTTGGGAGCACTCACTTGGTAAACCATCTCAGAGGAGCTAGAGATGAGGCCAGGCAACACAGCTACTCCACTCTCCATGATGGCACCATGGAAGAGTCCTTTGGACATGGGGGACACAACATGTGAAGACACACTTGTGCCACCTGCTGACTCTCCAAAAATGGTAACCTGGTCAGAGTTGCCTCCAAAGTGGGCGATATTCTGCTGGACCCAGCGTAGGGCAGCCACTTGGTCTAAGAAGCCCCAGTTCCCTCTGGCATGCTGGTCTCCAGTGCTGAGAAGTGAAGGGACATGCATCAGAAGGCTATCTAGGTTCTTCTCAGCTGTCATTGTATAGACCAGTCCTAGTCTCACCTGAAGAAGCCCAGGACACCGAGGCGGTACTGGATAGTGACCACCACCACATCTTCAATGGCTGCCAGCATGGATCCATCATACATGGAAGCCATACCTACAACCAGAGCACCACCATGGATCCACACCATCACCTGGAGAAATCAAGAGAGATTCCTGGAAGTTCCTAGCCAACAAGCTCTGCAGGACTGCTTACCAGAATATCAACAGTGTGAAGCTATACAACTGCATAACATCCTCAGGACTTCAGGACCTTGGTCATAGATAGGAACAACTAAGTAGCCCACCAGGATGTTTCTAGTCCCCAGCTTATGTGTATAGAGTAATATCATCATTATTAAGACTTCATAGTGGAACAAAGATGGGTGTCTCCATATACATCTCTGCAGATTAAAAAAGGAAAGGGTCATCAACTCCTATTGAAACAACAGATAACCCAGAAATAAATGGGGACCTCAATGTTGAGCCTTGAGCACCAAAGTGTTTCTGCAGGGCTTGGGTTGTAGAATTGGGTTTTATCAAAGAGCTAGAGCCTTTGTTCATTACAGTGCTATGTGTTCCATACCCAAGTTTCAGCTGTATAGTGTGGCCAAGAAGGCCTTTTTTTGACCCAAATAGGGTAACACATTTAATAGAATCTACACTGAAATGAAGCTTTTACCCCTTCTAATCATCTTGAAAAATGTCCCCCCTCCCCCAAGACCATGGCCTGACACTTACAGGGAGGTTAGAGCCCTCTTGGGCATGAACTGGTGCATAGATATTGAGATGCAGGCAGTCCTCAGACATGGGGATGGGAGGCGGGGTCATTTTTAGATTCTTTAGGGTCTCTGAATTCATCATATCAACATTTTGCAGACAACTGGTGAAAAAGGGAAACAGTTATTCCAAGAGATGTATGGTGGTCAAAATCAAATGAGTCTGTTTTTTTTTTTTTTTTTTTTTTCAGCTGCAGCTCCTCATGATGCCCTATTAACACATATTTCCTTTCTGAAGTCCTTCTCAGAAGATAAAGGCCACAGGCTCCTTGAATGCTGGAATGGAGCTAGAATTCAAGGAAGTCATCCAGTTAGGTAGGACATGGATGCTAGTCTTTCTGAGTCCAGGATACATAGACTTCTAGGTGTTTTCATGGAAATGGTTGTCTGTATGTGGTGACATTCACTGAATTGTGTAAGAATAGAAACATGACTTAAGCATTAGCAGACATGCAAGCAGTTTCTACTCTCTGTTCCTGGTTATAGATGTGATATGTCCAACTCCTGTAATTTTTCTTCACTGTGAATTACCAATCATGATAGATTGTAATCTGAAGCCTTCAATAATAGCTTCCTCCCCTAAGTTGCTTTTGTTATTATTTGTTATTACAGCAACAAAAAACAAATTAAGTTTGCAATATTAGAGTGTTGTAGGTACTAAAGGAATCAATGGAGAATACTGCCTCAAAGTCTACAGTATCCCATATAGAGACTCTCAGGGTACTTCTTTTTCCTACACTGTCTCCACAGAAATTAGTTACATATCCTTATTTCTTGGTCACTGGCACTTGGCCCTCTAGGTTGTCACAGTGATTGTGAGGGTGGGGTTAGTAACTATCCATCACTGCTGCACTCTTCAGGACCTGTAGTGTATTCTACTGGATTCAGGAACATTCTTTGTCTAATTAGTCATACAGCTCATGCCTAGAGATCCCTCCAATTGCAGAGAGAACACTGGGCTTAATATAAATCTGTGAACAATTTAATTTTGTTCTGCTCTATAGGACCTGCACCTAACTTCCTGTGGGTGCCAAGCTCTGATCCAGGAGACTGGCAAAGTTATTCTTTTCAAGTTTAGCACATGCATCAGAAGAAAACCCTCATGGTAGATTTCCCCACAATGGGAGAAAACTGTTATGGGCCTGAGATGGAGGAACTGCTCACCCCAGGACCTGACATCCTTTGGGTGCAGAACTTACATGGCTGGATATGAGGTCCCATCTCTCACACCACTCCATGGTTCAGGGGCTTCAGGGGGTGCAAAGCGCAGTGATCCTACAGGTGGCTTGGCAAAGGGAATTCCCAGGAATCTGTGGACACCAACTTTGGTGTCACTCACTTGGATGAGGCTGCCTCGGACCTGGCCTGTGTGTGTGTTCCTGATGGGGCGTGTCTCTGATGAGTCCTGACCTGTGAGGAGAGATGCCATCAGAGTTTTGTGCAGTCAGCTATCAGCAGATTGTAGAAGCTCCCACCTCACTGTTACCAGGGCACACAGGAAGGGAACCCAGGACCTCCTAGTTCAGCTGTGGGGTGTTAGTGTGGAAGCTTCCCTATCCCTCAGGGCCAGGAACCTTTCCTATTGCCCTGTGAAGGGCTTCAGAATGTTTCTCTGTCCAAAGAGGTCATACCTTCATAGACATTTGTATACATAAATTAATGATTATTAATATGATCATGACATTAACATGAGTAGAACCAGATGTCCTGGACTTCACTCTGTAGACCAACTTGGCCTCAAATTCACAGAGATGATTACTATCATTCTTATCCAAGGTCAGTAGTAGCTGCAGTCATGGCCACACACTGAAGAAGGAACAATTCCTGCAATTCACTTTTCCTTGAATTGTCTGGCATTTTTCAGAGCTCCTTACACTAAACTGTCTCCTTAGGATGGAGTGATCTTTGATTCTCTGACCCTCTGTGTGCTAGTGGGCCACAAAATGTGTGGGATTGGGAGGCACACATTTCCCACACTTCCATCTATCATTTCCATTGTCCACCCTTCCCCCACCTTTTCTCTCACAAGCTCAGCAACTCTGACTCTAATCATTCCCCATTACCAGTATAGTGAGCCTCACCCTGCACGTGGAGAAGGAGAAACAGGAACCCAATGACCACAGCATTCAGCCCACTTTGAAGTTGATTCAGTGCCATGATCAGCTCTAGGCCTGAGTCTGTGCTGCTGTGTAGGATGACCTTGTTTCAAAACCAGGAAGCAGAAACTGTTCGGCTTGCCCAGGCAGGAATTTAAATCAAAAGTATGTAGGCGGGAACTTGCTGTGGTGGGGCAAGGTCCTATTGTAGAAAATGTACTAGTCAGAAATGACAGGAGCCAAGAATAGGAGGCAGGCAAAGTCATTGTACTATTCTGGGTTCTCTAAAGTAGCAGGATTTATAGAATGAATCTCTCTATATAAATATAGAGAAATGGGATTTATTAGAATAACTTACAGATTATGGTTGAACAGTTGCTGGCTATGAATAGAAAGTCCAGAAGTTGTGCAGTACATGAGACTGGAGGTCTCATCTGGTCTTTAATAGATGCTGGAATCCCAAAGAGGTAGGCTCTAATGCCAGTGAAGGAATGGACTCGCATTGAAAGCAAGTTGAGAGCAAACAGGCAAAGAGCCAAACCCTCTGTCTCCCATGTCCTTATATAGGCTTCCAGTAGGTTGATCCGTGTTATAGGTATATTTTCCTACCTCAATATCCAGACAAAAGGCATGTGTCTTCCTACCTCAAATGTCCAGAGAAGAAGTAAATTCACCCACTTTCAACCTAGCATGAATCCCTTCACATGTGTGCCTTCCATTTCTGGATTCCAGTTAAATCCATATCTAGTCAAGTTAACAACCAAGAATAGCCACCACAGTCACCTTTGCTGTTTCTGTTCGCTCTTTGACCTTATGGAAAGTCATAGCATGGATTCTGAAGCTATTCTGGAATACTAGGAACCCTGTCCTCACACCTGGTCAGAAATCTGTAGTAGGAGGAGCCAGAGGGCTTCTGTGAGTAGGCACGCACTCAAGATGTCACAAGAGACACAGAGGGCTCTGTGAATAGGTGCACACTCAAGATGTCACAGGAGAGACAGGCAAGTGCAGGAGCTCTGTGTGTAACCTTCATCCCCAAGACCTCTCTGTGCTTTGAAGACTGTTTACTGAGCCCACTTCCAGAGTCCCTGGTTCCTGCAGCAATCTGCAGGACTACTTGGACACCTCACTGTTTGGTCATAGGTGTTTGATCAAAACAGAATGCAATTCTGCCCCTATTCACTGCACCTTCCTGATGTGTATCCTATAGTGGCCAGCTCCTACCAAGATCAACTTCACAGTCATTTATCCATTTAACAAAAATTTTTAGTTGTTTGCATTTATTTATTTACAGTGCTAGTGTGTGTGTGTGTTTGTGTTTGTGTCCCCAGGCCATGACTCACATATGGAAATGAAAGGACTATTTGTTTAATTCCTTTCTCTGCTTCCACCATGTAGATCCTAAAGTGGAACTTAGGTCATCAGGATTGGAGGGAAGTTCTCTTACCACCTCCTGATCAATATAATATGTAACCAGATGATAAGCATTTAATGGGTCTTTACTGGCTCCAACACTGGGGTCAATCTGGGCTTTCAGAACCTATGATAAAACTGATATACAAAGCATTAAATAAGAGTCTCAGAATCACAAAGGAGGACTGAGAAGTGAGTGACCAACTCCCCATCTGGACCAAAAGCCTTTAGTCCCTAGGTCCTAATGCAAAGCCCTGCCCCTCCCAAGCACATTTCACCTACACTAGTCAGTCAGCAGGGAAGGCTTGCACAGGTAGGCCACATCATCACTCCCCGCCCCCACCAGACCCTATCACCTACAAGTCCCACTCTGTCTCCAAACCCACCCAGCCTTCCCAACCTTAGCAGTTCCATGAGACACAGAAATAGAAACGACAAACAAAAAATAGGAAGAAATCAATAAATCCCTTTAAGAAAGCCAAGAAAACCAAGAAAAATCAAACAAGTCCAACATTTGAAAATTGATATAGAGGTAATAAAGAAAACCAAACTAAGGCAATTCTGGAAATGGAAAATCTGGGTAAATGAACAGGAACTATAGGTGCAAGCATAATCAACAGAATGCAAGAGCATCTGAGACTTTGAAGATACAACAGAGGAAATATATTCACCCATCAAATAAAACACTAAACCCAACAAATTTATAACACAAAACATCTCGGAAATCTGGGACACTGCGAAAAGACCAACCCTAAGAATAATAGGCATAGAAGGAGAAGAAGAATATCAGCGCAAAGCCATAGAAAATATATTCAACAAAATAATAGAAGAAAATATTCCCAACCTAAAGAAGGAGATGCCTGTAAAGATTCAAGAAGCAGACAGAACACAAAATAGACTGGACCAAAACAAAACAAAACAAAACAAACAAACAAAAAAAAACAAAACAAAAAAAAAAAAAAAAAAAAAGAAAAAGTTCTGTTACCACATAATACTCAAAACACAAAATATACATAAAAAATAAGAATATTAAGAGCTACAAAGGATCACCCCTGGGTCCAGCAAGAAATAAAGAAAGAAGTTAAAGACTTCCTAGAATTCAATGAAGATGAAAGCACAACACACCCAAACCTATGGAACACCATGAAAGCAGTGCTGATAGGAAAGTTCATAGCACTAAGTGCCTCCATAAAGAAAGTGGAGAAATCTTACATTAGCAACTTAACAGCACACCTGAGAGCTCTAGAACAAAAAGAAGCAGAATCACTCAAGAGTAGATGCCAGAAAATAATCAAATTGAGGACTGAAATCAATACAATAGAAAAACAAAGAATACAAAGAATCAAGGAAACAAAAAAACTCTTTGAGAAAATCAACAAGATGGGCAAACTCTTATCCAAACTAACCAAAAGGTGAAGAGAGAATATCCAAATTAACAAAATCAGAAATGAAAAGGGGGGACATAAAAAAAGACACTCAGAAAATCCAGAGATCATTAGATCATACTTCAAAAACCTGTATTCCATAAATTTGGAAAATATAAAAGAAATGGACAATTTTCTGTATAGGTGTCACATACCAAAATTAAATCAAGACCAGATAAACAATTTAAATAAACCTATAAACCCCAAGGAAATAGAAGCAGTCATCAAAAGTCTCCCAACCAAGAAAAGCCCATTCAGACCCCTGAACATGGGTCTCAGTTAGAAGGCCTGGGCAGTCTAAGGAACCTCTGACAGTGGAACCAGGATGTATCCCTGGTACACAAAAGGACTTAGGGAGCACATTCCCCATGGAGGGATACCCCCTTAACCTAGAGGCAGGAGGGAGGGCTTAGTCCCTACTCCAAGTGACTTGACAGATTTAGATGACCCCTCCTGTAAGGCAATACCCTACATGTGGAGTGGGAGGGTGGGATGTGAGGGTGGTCTGGGGTGGGAGAGAGGCAGGCAGGGAGGGAGCGAGGAAGAGGGAACTGGGATCAATATGTAAAATAAGAAAAATAAATTAAAAAAATGGTGAAGGGAAAAAAGAATTTTCAACAGAACATTATCAAATGGTGGAAAGACATGTAAGAAAATGCTCAGTATCCTTAGTCATAAGGGGAATGGAAGTCAAAACAACTCTGAGATTCCATCTTACACTGATCAAAATGGCTAAGATAAAAAAACAACAATGATGCCTTATACTAGAGAGGATGTGGAGTCAGGGGAACATCCCTCCTTTGCTGGTGGGAGTGCAAACTTGTAAAGCCTCTGTGGAAATCAGTATGACACTGTAGTGGGATATTCACTTTGTCTCCTTCTGTGGCACTGACCACGCCCATTGGGGGGTGGAGCCATGGGCGGAAGTGACCTGTGGGAGGAGGTCGGAGGGGGCCAAAAAAGGCTCTCTTTTTCTGGCGTGACTCGGACAGGAGAGGATAGGGTTGAATTTCCTGGTGTTCATCTGTCTAGGTTGTAAGTTATTTCTCCCTGAATAAACATCTATTCGGCCTATTTATTTATCCTGATCCTTATTTCCCGCAATATGACACTTTCTCAGAAAATTAGGAATCAACCCATCTTAAGACCCTACAATACCACTTTTTGGCATATAGTCAAAAGAGGCACACTCACACCCAAGGGCATTTGTTCAGCTGTGTTCATAGCTAGATGCCCCTCAAACACAGAATGGATAAAGAAAATGTAGTACTACTCAGAGGTAAGAAATAATGATATCCTAAAATTTGCAGGCAATTGGACAGACCTAGAAAAAAATAATCCCAAGTGAGGTAAACCAGACCTAAAATTCCAAATACAGTATATACTTCCTAAGTGAATACCAGACATAAAGCAAAACATTCCCAGCCTACAATCTACAACCACAAGTTAGAACCCTCTTTCAGAAACAGGAAGCAGATGCAGAAATCCACAATTAACCATTGGGTTGAGCTACTGGAGTACAATGAACGTGAAGGAGGAGCGATAATATGAACAAAGGAGTCAAGACCAGAATGGGAAAACCCATAGAACCAGCTGACCTGAGCTAGTGAGAGATCACTGACTCTGGTCTGACAAATGGAGAACCTTCAAAGGACCCAACTAGACTCCCTTAATATAGGTGTTATGTTGCAGCATGTGCAATCAATATATGAGACCCCTGGCAGTGGGTCCAACTCTAAAGCACAGACTGACTTAGTGGAGTCCATTCTATATGGAGAGATACCTTGTTCAGCCTAGACACAGGGGTGGGGAGAGAAGGTTGCCTTGGTCCTATCTCAATGAGATGATGGGCACACTTAGCAGACTTCCTGGGGGAGGCCTTCCTCTCTATGAGGAACAAATGGGAGGTGGGGTGGGAGGAAAGTGGGAGGTACCCTTGAATGAATTGGTACAGGACACCGCTTCCTGAACAAAATATCAGTAGCACAGACACTGAGATCAATAATTAATAAATGGGAACTCCTGAAACTGAAAAAGCTTCTGCAAAGCAAAGGACAAAACAGCAGCCCACAGAATGGGAAAAGATATTCACCAACCCCACATCTGTCAGAGGGCTGATTTCCAAACTATACAAAGAACTCAGGAAGCTTGTTACCAAAACACCAAATAATCCAATTAAAAAGTGGTGTATAGAACTAAATAGAGAATTCTCAATAGAGGAATCTAAAATGGCTGAAAGGCACTTAAGAAAGTGCTCAGCA